GTAAAAGTCTAAACTGTCCATTTCTGAAGGACAAGGAATTTGTTATCAAGTCATCAAGTCGACTGTGACTCACAGCAACCCTGTGAAGATATGAATCTTGCCCTATCCTGCATCATCCTTTGACCTCTGATACACTTGAGTCCATTGTTACAGTCACTGAGTCAGTCCATCTTGTTGGGGGGTTTTGCTGTCTTTCTCTGACTCTCCCTTTCTGAGTAATGCTTTTTTCCATGACCTATGTCTACAAACATTTATAGGAATACCTAAAAAAAAAGATATTCTACAATATAAAGTAAATTTTAATAATGGGAGCAAGTATGTAAATTTACTTCTTTAGCAAATATAGAAGATTTGGATTACAAGATAGCCTGGATTCCCAGAAGTTGATTTTTTTCCTTTTCTCTCCATGAGGAAAAAAATATACCATTCCAGGAAAATTACAGGGTCAATGAAAGGGATGAAGACCCTCCCAAAATGGCTTGATACAGTGACTGCAGCAATGAGTTTTAACAAGTTGAAATGGTGATGGGGGTAAGGATAGAACAGGATTCTAATCAGTTGTTCTTAGGATTGCTATGAGTCATAATCAAGAGCATATGAGAAAGATGTTTACCTGTATTTTGTTATTCCCACTCTTCACAATGTAATCCATACTTTATAATCACTGTCAAATACCTTTACATCATCAGTTAAACACAGGTAAACATCTTTTTTTATATTCCCTGTTTTCAGCTGAGATTCATGTGAAATCATCTTTTGTTCTACATTCTTTTTTGAATCCCGCTTAAGTTTCTGGCAGTTCCCTGTCAATGTTTGACTGCAACCATTTATTAATGATGTTCAGCAAAATTCTGCTTGTGTGTGATATTAATTATATTATTTAATAATGTTAACATTCTGTTGAATCATTTTTGTTTGGAATAAGCACATATATGGATCTCTGCCATTTAATTGGCAAGGTGACTGTCTTCCAGATTTCTTGCTCATAGAAGAGTAAATACTTCTAGCATTGTATCCATTTGTGAAACTAGAGCATTGGTATGGTTTTTCTCATTTCAGGCATGACCAAGGAAGGAACATACCCAAATTTTTTAAACTGGAGTGATATTTAGAACTGAAAAAAATTACAGTTGGAGGCCTAGTAAAACTTCATTTCCTCTTCAGAAAACAAGGGCATCATACTGCATGGCATCCAATTCTCTTTCAGCTTGGCTTCTTTAAAGGGTCAGAAACAGTGGTGCCTTGGTCAAAGATGGCAGCTGACTATACCACTTTGAATGTGTTTTGCTCTCCACAGTTCTGCCAATAACTCAGTCTCATGCATCAAGTTCTTGAAAGGGTTTACTTCACCTTTTCCAAGTCCCCAGTTACGGAGATTCTAGCCATAATTTTTCTCATTTAATTATCATTTTGCACCACTCAGATTTTAAAAATTCAAGCTTATTTTGGTATTTTCTTAATCAAAACTTATTGAACCAGTTAAAACTGTTGGGAAACTTGATTAAAACATCTTATTTGGTTTTTATGCCACTTTTGGGGGCTTGTTTTTCACCAAATTCACCAAAGCCTTCATTGCAGCTTGAACTTCTCCCTTCAGTGTTACTGGTTTTTAATCATGTGCCCCCAGCTGAAATGTCTGGTTATCAGCCAATTCTTTTTGGTACAGTGACTATCCTTTTTATTTTACTCTGTTCTATAATTTTTATTCCTCTTGCATCATTCAATATTTTGTCCCCAGAATACTTCAGTATTGCAACTCAAGGCTTAACTTTTTCTTCAGCTCTTTCAGTGTGAGAAATGCCAAGCATGTTTTTCCCATTTGGCTTTCTAACTCCAGGTCTTTGCATATTCTATTATAATACTTTGTTTTCTTGATCTGTCCTTTGAAATCTTCTTGCAGCTTTTTTACTTCACTTTAGTTGTTCTATTCTCCAGAGCAAATATCAGAGTCTCTTCTTTGGTCCATTATATGTTGCCAAAAGGTTAACAGTTTGAATCCAACTACTGCCCCTCAGGAGGAAGATGGATAGCCTCCTTCCATAAAGATTTACAGCCTCGAAAATTGATGGAGGACCATTAAGCATCTAAATTGACTTTCTGGCAGTGGATTTGGGTTTTGGTTTTTTACTTTCTTTGTATATGGTGTCCTTCATGACCATACCTTATCTTCAGTTTTAGTATTCAGTGCATCAAGCCTCTTCTTCAGATGGTCTTTAAATTCAGGTAGGTTGTACTCAAGGTTGTACTTTAGCTCTCCAAGGCTTATTTTAATTTTTTTTTAACTTGAACTAATGAGCAATTGATGGTTTGTTTCATAGTCTGGCCTTTTTCTCACTGATGATATTGAGCTTCCCCATAATTTTTCTCCACAGGTATGGTGGATGTCTGTGTAGTCACATCATGAAGATCTATATGTGAACTTGCTGTTTATGTTGCTCTAAAAAAGGAATCCTTAATGGTCTTACAAAATTTCTTTGTTGAGTCTTCAACATGATTTCTATTGTCATAGTCATATTTTTCAGCTACTAATTTTTTCTTTGTTCCCAGCTTTCACATTCCTAACACAGTAATTATAAATGTGTTTTGATTGCATGTGTGATAAGTTTCAGACTAGCAAAATTGGTAAATGTCTTCAGTTTCTTAATTTGTAATATACATGTATTATAAAATTAGGTCATGCTATTTTATAATTTCCTTTTCCACTGAACAGTATCTTATGTTGTTGAGTGCTGTTAAGTATGACTCATAAATACGCTGTGAATAATAGATCTGAACTTTGTCCTATCATGCACCATCCTTATCATCCTCTACACAGTTGAATCCATTGCCACAGCTGTTGCCATCTCTTTGAGGGTCTTCCTTTCCTTTTTTGACTCTCCACCTTTCCAAGGATGGTGCCCCTTTCCAAGAATAGTCCCTCTAAGCAACATGTCCAAAATACGTGAAACTAAACTTCACCATCTTTACCTCCAATGAACACTCCGGTTGCACTTTCCCCAATACATATCTTTCAGTTTTTGGCAGTCCATGAGGTATTCAGCACTCTTCCCCAATGCCACAACTCAAATTTATCTGTTCTTCTGCCGTCCTTAGTCATGCATTTTCAAATGCATAGCAGGTGATTGGAAAGTGTGGCTTGAATTAGATGCACTTTAGTCTTTAAACTGACAGCATTGCTCTTCAGGACTTTGGAGAAAGCCCTGACAGCAGACTTTTCCACTGCTATACATATTTTGATCTCCTTACTTCTGGTACCAAGGTTGTTAACTGTGGATCCAAGCAAGATGAAATAGTTGACAATTTGTTAAAATTTTTCTTTTCTCCATCTATCATGATGTTGCTTATCAGTCCAATGATGAAGATTTTTGTTTTCTTAATGTTGAGATGTAATCCATATTGAAGACTGCAGTCCTTGATCTTCTGCAGCAAGCACCTCAGGTCCTTCTCACTTGCAAACAAGCTTATGTCCCCTGCAAAATGCAGATTGTTGATGAACCTTCCTCCAATCCTGATGCCACACTCTTTTCTGGGCCCTTGTATAGGAAGGACAGGGCAGGTACTGGAGACCCAGGTGACTCACTCATTGTGTGACTTGAGTTAATACAGAGCTAAATGTTCCCCTGGTAGTTAAGGCAGCATCAGCTTTTCATTTCTCTTTTCCAGCAAGAAAACACTTAAAGATCTGATACTTGTGATCGATGTATGCCTCCCTCGAGGAAACATCTTTTCCACTAAGATTTAAACACAAAATTAGTAGTTAAAAAATAAAAAATCAAGCTAGTACTCTTGCATAATTTCCTTTTATTTCCAAGCCTAGATGCTTCTTGATGAAGTGGCTCTCTGAGTGTATTAGAAGAGTAATAGGGTGAAAGACTTAATTCCCAATATAGCTACTAATCCTGTTTAATTCCCTGCAGTTTTTTCAGTCCCAGGTTGTTTCTCCTTTCTTTATTAGTTAAAAGACTGGTGAGTACAAACTACAGGAACCTTACGTGTATCTTTCAGGTATCAGAGTTTGTGATTTGGGGGAGGTGATGCTGCTTAAATTATTTGGAAGGAATGTTTTCAAAGTATTGGTCCTTGAATTTTACGTCAACAAGAAAGTTTCTTCTGTTTTTGGAACTGTGGTGACAGCTTTCACGTTGCTTTCCATATCTTATGTATTTCAAAGTCATTTCATCTCGACCAGATGAACTGAAATCTCTCAGTGTAGATGTGGATGTGTGCCTTAAATCAACCAAGTGACCTTTTTTTAGGTATTTTTTTCATATAAAGTCTGGATATTTAAGTTCAACCGAACCTGTAAAATACCTAATTTTCTGATAAATGAGAATTTATAAAAGCTATGCAGAAAAGAGCAGGGGGGAAGGTAATTAGGTTCCAATGTAGAAAATAAAGTTTAATTGCTTTTATGTGTGTAAAATATATCAAACGACTAAATACTATTTCTACAAATACATGTAAAAGTTTGATGAGTTCTTTGTTTCTACATAGTTCAATCCTTGATGCTACAGTCTGTAAATATTGATGTTGCATAGTTTCAGCTACACTGTATCTTTGCCTTATTTAAAAGAAAACACAGGATTCATCACATAATTTTGTGCATGTAATGATGACTATTTATTAATGGTTTCCTACAATGTTTAATGTTTCTGGCATTTTACTTTTTCTGTCTTGCTGTCCCCTTTATCTTTGGGTAAAAATCTCTTGTCTCTATTGTAACTATCATTAGAATCTGGACTCTCTTTCTTCTCCTTTTGTCCTTATAAGGCTATCCTGTTTTATCACTTCCTGCTTCAGCTCCTTACTTTTTCTCTCTTCCCCTCTCCCACTCCTGGGTGGATGCTTTCTCCATGTGGCGGAGCTGTAAGTGTTCACAACTGTCTGAAACAGCAGTGACCAGGAGCTGCTCGAGTTTTAACTTTCATTTTACAAAGAACAACATGTTTGAATGTTACAACAGGCAAGTTGTAACTGGCACTTACTTTTTGTTCTTCTAGAACGCTGAAAATCTCCCTCAGCACTGTAGAAGGGGGATCCTGACTGTGTTAAAGAAGAAGTGGGAGAACCCAGTGCTGGGAGCCGAATCACGCACAGAATCCCTGCGAAACAGCAGCACTGAGATTAGGCACAGAGTCGACCACCCGTCTGCTCAAGTGGCAAACAGCTCTGCGTCTGCAGCTGTGGCTGACCCAGTGGACCAAGGCTCTGCCAGCTCAGGATTGGGCTCCTCTCCTAAAGCTCTCACTCAGCACCAGCATCCCCACTTTGAGGACAGGGAGGATCTTCAAGACCACTGCTCAGAAAGTGAAAAAATGGAAAATTTTCTTACTGAATCCAGGCACGAAGGAGGGAAACCTGAAATCAGTGAAAACACAGATGCTCCAGGCAAAATAGAGAAGTACAACGTTCCGCTGAACAGGCTTAAGATGATGTTTGAGAAAGGCGAATCAACTCAAACCAAGGTAAGCATTTAGCGGGTTTAAACCTTGGGAGAGCCAATTCAAACAACTAATTGAAGCATTGGGGTTTTTCTTTCTAATCTAGACAGCTTGAATACCTGCTGTCTTTGATTCAAGCACTGAGTTAATGAAAATTCTTACATTTTTCTCCAGTAAAATTCTCAAGTATTTATGTAAATACTGGTATTTGTGAGCACCAGACTCTCTCTAGAAATGTAATAGAGTTTGACACTGATTGGATTTTATATTTTTGCACACTCTTTTAATTTGTCTTTTTCTGTCTTTTGTCATGTGTAACTCTAGGGTGTGACTCTCTATCCTTTTGCACACAGCTGCCCTTGGAGCATTAAGGCCAGAGTTTAGCTTTAAGACTGAGGCTTAGTTGTCTGTTTGCTAGCCAAATCCCATCTCTTTTCAACTCCCTCATCTGTGCCTTCCAACAAATGTTTTCTATCAGCTAAAATCCTCTCCTAGGAAAAAACCAATGAAGATAGCCAGAATAGCTGTAGCCTTCAGGAATTCTGACTTGCAAATGCACAGGGTTGCATTTTCCTACAACTGCTAATGAAATTTGATCCTTCATGTGGATTGCAGACTGGGTCCCCAGAGGGAATTACTTAACTAGAAAATTAGTTACATATGCTGGTGACTTATAACACAATCCAGAGGCCGCAGCACTGGTAGATTTTTCCAGTTTTTCTCATGCTTTCCTACATATCTGACTTTGTACACGGGATGATTTTTTACGACGGACATTGTAGCGAATAATAAAAAACTGATCTGATAGAGGGTAAAGTCATCATTTAGATGTCATCTAGATAGGAAAGGGGATTTTTTTAAAGCTAAATATTTAGCCCAAATTCCTACATTTGTGAAGGATGAAGCATTCTTTCTGTGGTAAAAATGAGTGTGTTCATCTTCTAGGCCTCAGTTTTGTTACATGTGACTTAGTTAAATCCCTTCCTGTAACTTGCAGTGCTTTCCTGCCTAGAAAAAAAAGTTATGTGTTTGGGAATCCTCTACTTGCGGAAGTGGGAAGGAATTTTTCCAAGCTTTGCAAAGTCAGAACCCTTTCCTATGTATGAGTTTGAGCTATATACTTTAACACTAAAATAAATTAGCAAGAATCTTATGGCTTAAACTCTCTTCTTTGTCGATTTTTTTCTGTTTTTCAGGCAGGCCATTTCTCAGTCCTCTTTATGGTCTTGATAATTTTATTTTTCCTTTCAAATGGGAAGAATTTTAAATAGAGGGAAAGAAATGTCAGAAATCCTAAATAGAGAGGAAGGGGCTTTGTTGTGACTCAAAGCACCATTGTAAGACTCCTTCTAAAAGACCTTGTCAGGGGCAGGACAGCTGATGTCACAGCAGCACATACAATGTGGATTCAGTGCTCCAGGCTAGTGCATGTCAAAACTGGCCTAAGGTAGGAAATGACTGGGACTGCAGCAAACAAAAATGCTGATTATGTGTAAGGAGCTGGTGAGAGACTCTCTTCTCATAAATGTCTGGAGGGAGATGGGTCAGAACAAGCCTATCTTTTTATGCCTTGTCAGAGTGAAGAAGAATCCCTAGAATGAAAAAAATAAGACCAAAAAACCCCGAATATATTTCTGATGTCACTGAGCAGCCTCACTGTGAAAGAATAAGAAGATAACAGGGTTCTAGGAGTGATGTGGGATTTTTTCCCAGTTTTTTGGTGCTTTTTTTACTTCCTCATTAGTCATTTCTCATTTAATGGACTGTTCAGGGATATGAATAGGGGATATAGGCTTTATAACGGTTTCTAAATAAGCATTATTATTCATGTTAGTACTAGTTCTTGTTTAATATCTCTATAAAGATTTTTTTTAAGATTCTGCCCACATTAAGTTAAAGAATAATCAGTTTGAAACTAGGTTATAAGTGTTGTTAACAAGTCAGTTCAGAAATAAATTGAGTACAGGTTGTATGATTATGAGGACCATTTCCTCCATGATAAAACTTGAGAGAATTGGGCTGAATCTCAAATGGCTGAAAGGAGTCAGGGTCCACATAACCAAACTGAGCCCACTGCCAACAAGCCAGTTCAGACTCCTGGTAACCCTCCATCAGGTCTCTGAAGCTATAAATCTTTTTAAGAGTACATTGCCTAAGTTTTCTCCTGCTGAGTGATAGATTCGAACAGTTGACCTTCCAGTTAGCAGCCCAATACATAATACATTATATCACCATCATCCATAGCAAAATCAAACCAAACTCATTGCCATCAAGTCAGTTCTGACTTGTAGTGACCTTCCTTCTCCAAAGGACAGCTGATAGATTCAAACTGTTGACATTTGATTTGGTAGGCTGCCAGGGCTCCTTAATGTCTATATAGATAATGGAAGTTTTTGGTTTTACCCTCCTAAATCTTGAGCTCTGGTGGCCTAGTGGTAAGAACCTGCATTGCAATCCCATAGGCACACAGTTTGAATCCACCACCTGCTACATGAAAGAGAGAAAAGGATGGACAGTCTCCTCCTGTGTGATTTACTGTCTCTGACAGTCTTCTAAATGGTCAGCTAGATGGTTCTGACTTGAGAACACACAACAATAAATCTTGAGTCAAAAAAAAGGTGCATGATCTTTTCATTCACTTGCTATAAGCTGGACAGTGAATAAGGATGAAGTGTGATTGATGCTTTTTAACTGTGATGTTGGAGAACAGTACTTAATAGCACACGGACTTCCAAGAAAACAATCAGATATGTCTTGGAAAATGTGCAGCCACCATGTTCCTTGAAGGCAAGGATGGAGAAGCTTCATCTCACATACTTTGGGCATATTTTTAGGAGAGGTTGTTCTTTGGAAAGGGACATCATGTTTGGAAAGGTAGAGAGAAGAGAAAAGAGATGGATTGAAACAGTGTGTGAACAACAGTTGTATTGGAAATGATAAGGGCGGGATTGAGATCTGTTGTTCATAGGTCAGTATGCATTATGCTCAATATGATGGCACCTAACAACAACCAGTCTATAATTTCTTTAAAAGTAAAGAAATTCTTTTATTCTTTTCTCTATGGTTAGCACAATGGCTTAGCTCTTTGTGTTTATTTAGTTAAAAGGAAGAAAGAAGCTTATAACCTAAATAGTTTCTAAATTATGAGAATGTTCTCTACTTACTCATTACTTTTGGTGAATGGCTAGATTTTTTAGGTCAGATGGTTTACTTGAACAAGATGGTTCTAATATCTATGAGTGAATGAGTCATGAGTGGATTAATGTGACCTATAATCATTGAGTAGCTCTGGTGGCCTACTGATAAGAAGCATGCTGCAATCCCAAAGGTATGTGGTTCAAATCCACCTGTTGCTCTGTGGCAGAAGGATGGACAATATCCTCCCATGCAATTACTACTTCTGAAAACCTGCTGGAGGGTTAGCTGTGGGTCACTTCTCACTCAATGCTAGATAACAACAACTACAACAAAATCATTACTAGAAAAGAGAAATGCTCTAATGACCTATACTAGATGTGGTTTAGCATTCTATGACAACATGAGTTTCGTTTAGTAGGAAATAACTTTTCTAGGCATCCTTTTATGGGAGAAGGGAGAAGAAAGCTAATCAGCTCCTTACAACCATTGTCCATCTAGTGCCACCTTAAAATTTGAATCCATGCTCTTTAGAAGTAAAATGGAATTATTAAAAATGTTTATCTTCCATTTCTAGAATGACAAAAAATGTAGGACGTATATGACAACTCCTTAAGTCTTGGTTATTTGTTTATTTTCTAACATATTTGGCCCACAGAAATCTTTGTATAAGAGTATAGAGACCATCGCTTCTCGGCCTTTTGGCTAAGATCAAGTGAAGAGTATAGAGACCAGACACCCAAGTGGTATATTTCTGCCTTCATAGCCATTTCAAACATTGTCCTTTCTTTGGGTCAAAATTTGACTATTCGCCGTAATGCAAGGAAGTAAGACTGGATATGAACATTCCTGTCTTCTACACAGATTGTGACTACGGCTTCAGTACAGTGTTTCTATCCCCCCCACCCCCCACCCCAATCCCCATCTCAAAAATACATTCATGCTTTTGCAACTAATCAAGAAGGATTGTTGTTATTATGTGCTATCTAGTCAGAACCAGCTCACTTCAGCAGGTTACAGAGAGCGAAGATTGCTCATCTTTCTCCTGTGCAGCAGCTAGTAGATTAGAACTGCCTGCCTTTGGGTTGGCAGGACAACTCCTATCACTAAGCCACCAGAACTCCCTAACCAGGGATAAGAGGTAGTAATGAGAATAAGAAACAATTCTCCTTGTGCATTTTTTATTATCTGTAGTATATTTTAATGTTTTCAGTTAAGTGTCATCATAGGAGAGGAAGACTCTCAGTGAGATAGCTTGACACAGTGACTTCTACAATAGACTTAGACACAGCAGAGATTATGAGGATGGCAGAGGCTTGGGTAGGGTTTAATTCTGTTATACATAGTGAGTTGAATATACATTATGAGTTGAATCCAAGTCCATAGTACTAACAATAACAGCAGATAATGATGTTTTAATTGATTTTAACTTGTTTTAAATTATAAAAATGAACAGTACATTCAGATAAAGTAAAAGTACCTATAAAAAGTGGAAGTTTGCTCTGCCCCACCCTTTTACTTTTTACTACTTCTCCCCTTTGACTCATTGCCCTTGATTCCCTTAGAACTTCTGTTCCCCTTATCAGTGTAAGAATAGATCAAAACACCAACAAAGCTACACTTGTTACTATGAGAATAAAACTGCCCTTATTCAGACAGTCTAACATTTTTGTGGGTTTTTTTCTTATAAGTTCCTGGAAGTGACACTTGGTATTTTGTTTAGCTTTGCATGGTGCTAGTATAAAACATTATCTATGTTGATAGAGGAGAGTGAATCCTTGAGGAGGTAAGGCAAACAAGTTAAAATCAGATCTGTATTCATGAAATCTTTTCCCTGTAGCCAGCCAGTCTATAATATACATGAAACAATTTATATATGCCTCTTAAAG